TCTAAAGTCACTCATCATGCCTGTGCTGTTGTATGGCGCGGACGCATGGACAATGAAAATATCTGATGAAGCGGCTCTTGGAACGATTTACGGACCTTTACGCATTGGTGATGGCGAATAACGCAGACGATTTAACGATTATCTGTAAGAGGTTACAACAATATAGACATAGTGCAGCGCATTAAAATTCAGCAGCTCCGCTGGCTTGGCCATGTCGTTCGAATGGACAGAAACGCTCCTGCTCTGAAAGTATTCAACAAAGACCACGATGCTGGTAACAGAGGAAGAGGAAGACCTCCTCTGCGTTGGAAAGACCAGGTGGAGAAAGACTTGGTTTCACTTGGCATCTCCAATTGGCGTCAGTTGGCACAAAAGAGAAATGATTGGCGTGCTGTTTCGGACGCGGCCAAAATCGCTTAGGGTGCGTTCACACCGAAAGCCGAGTGGCGCCGAGCGAAGCAAGGCGGAACAAAGCGAAGCTACTGTCGTTCACACTGAATGAAACGAAGCGCAGATTTTCTCACAAACTCTGCTGCAAAGATACCACAAAACTTACCGCCAATGAAAAGCGGCAAAAACATTTGCTCAATTTTATTCAAAAGATTCGTTGTAAAATTCGTTTTGATTTGAATATTTTGATATCCTGTTTTCAGCAGCGTCATCAAACATAAAAAAATTGAATAGAAAATTCAAAATCAAAAACTACTTTGCTTTCAGCTCCAATACGCTTACGGAAAAGCTTGCTGTATGAACACTTTCATATAGCTACAGCAATTTGGAAGCTTCACTCAGCTCGGAGCGGCTCTGCTCGACTCCGCTTTCTGTGTGAACGTACCCTTAGGCAGTTACAGCGCCAATAACTAAAAAGAAGACGATAATGGAATCTGAAGAAATCTTTAAGAATATAGATTCCGATGAGTGAGGTAACAAGAAAAATTATATCACTGACGATAACGATGCTAAATAACATTGGCGAAAACATTTTGAAAATACATATTATTATGTCAATAATAATATCGATAACAACGACGATAAAAATATTATATAGTAATAATATCGATAACTTTTGTCGAAAATAATGGCGATGATGATTTTAATATCGACAACCGTAAAAATGCTGATAAATATAACGATATCGATGACTTTATTAACGTGCATATAATAGTTATAACAACAATGGTATTAACATCTATAACGATACAGAGATCGTGCTGCTCACCAAGAAATGGATCCCAACAATTATAAACATGATTTGCAGACCTCATTTCGTGATAACTTGTAGGCCTACAAAATACCTAGAGGTGAAGCTTAACAACAAGCTCACATTTTAGGAACACATTCATGGAGAATGTGAAAAATCTGCGCAGAGAACGGTGGCTCTAAGGCGGCTGATGGTGAATGTGGGCGGTCGATTTCTACCTGACCGGTCATGATTACTGCCGAGAATATCTTCATAGAATGGACAGGGTGGACTCACCATTCTGTTGCTACTGTAAAAACGTCGAAGATAACGTACACCATACATTCTGCACTTGAGAGCACTTCTTGACTTCGCGCACAATGTTAAAAGAAACTCTCAATAACATAATTGAGGTAATGATCTCCAGTGCAGAAAAGTGGGAAGCAGTCGCGAGATACGTGAAATTCTTATTCCGTTGGAAACGAGAAGACGCATGTTTACTGAGAACACCCGAATGAAACGCGCCCACGAGAGAGCAGCCCTGAGGTTCTAGCAGCAGCGCGCTCCTGCATCTGAAGACATGCATCAATGCTCGGAGCGTTCTGAATAAAAAAAAAAAAAAATTGATAAAAAATTCTATCGATAAAAATAATGAGTGTGCTAATCGATAATAATCTAAATATGGTTAGCGATAACAATGGCAATGAGTACAGCAATCCAATCATGGTTTTACTGCGACTCGTAATACATATGTATGTATGTATATGAAGATGTATGCTTTTACCACAAAATAACTACACTTTTTGCATTCAGTTGTGTCTAAACCCCTATTTGTTTATTTCTACACAGTGATACTTTTCGTTCTTAATTTTTTCAACATCTTATTTTGATTCCTATAGTGTGTATGTATTAAGTAGCCATTTATGGCATGGCATTTGTTAATACAATGGGCCTTTAGATGCTTATGTCGGTATTTATATACTAAAAGGTGATTTTTTCTTAGACGTGTGGTTTTCAATGAGGCAATACTTTTTCGGAGTTGGTCTTTTTGACAGCTGTTACTTGATCTATACTCAGTTTGTTTGCCATATCATAATGAACAGACTTACTCCGGAACAACGTTTGCAAATTGTGCAAATTTATTAGCAAAATAATGGTTCGGTTCGCTAGACGCATCGCGCGCTGCGTCCAATATTCGGTCGACATAATCGCCCAGCAGAGTTGGTAATTCGAGCTACAATGGATCGGTTGCGCACCACGTTTACGCACCGAAGACGCTATTGCTGCTGTGGAGCAGAGTATCGAAGAAGACCCGAATCAGTCCATCGTCATCGCGCGCAACAATTGGAGCTGTGCTCATCCATTAAATTGGAGGATGTTGATGTGGGCGACCTTTGGTTCCAACAAGACGGCGCTACATGTCATACAGCCCAACGAAACAATCAATTTACTGAATGAAACTTTTGGTGAGCGCATTATCTGGCATCGTGGGCCTGTGGCGTGGCCACCAACATCGTGCGATTTAACACCGCTGGACTATTTTTTGTGGCGTTAGGTGAAGTCGATTGTCTACGCAGATAAGTCCGAGACGATTGCGCCATGGCAGAGAATAATTCGGCGCGTTATTGCTGACATACGGCCTCAATTGCTGCAAATAGTGGAATTTATTCGAGCCAGCCGCGGCGGTCACTTGCCCGAAATCATTTTTAAAACATAATGGCAAACACTTATCTTTATAATAAAGCTAAATTCTATCTAAAAACACCCTTTATTTATATTTTAGTGCTTAGGGAAAGCTCAGAGAGTAAGGGTAACTTCCGCAGCTACTTACGAAACTAAATACTCACCTTTTGTATGCGTCGCTAAGATTTTCGTTGATTTCTTTAATTTTCCATTTGAGTTGCAAATTATGTAAGAAAATTTCAATGGGTTTGCCTTTATTTTGATCGTATGTATGAGTGTTAGTTTTAAATCTGGGTGCAGTTTTCTAAACATTCACTGTTGGTGCTTGCTTATTATTATACAAATATCTAGGTGGAATTTCAGATTTTTTTTTTTTTTTTTACTAAAAAATAAACCAAAATCTATGTAAACATATCGATAGAGGGAGCGAGAGGGAGCGCGAGTGTTGGTTTTGTTGAATTAAAGCTGATAAACTTTAACTAGAACTCGATAACAAAAATCCGCCAATATGCAGACATACATACATACACACAATACGCGCATTATGTACGTGCATACATATGTATAGATTTATTTATTTGTAAACTTTTTTTAAACGTATTTTTTTATGTATGTATGTATATTAATTTCGTATTTAATATTTCAACAAACATCATAATTTCAAATGTTTATATGCAGTACGATTTCTTCAGTTTATTTTTATATTTATATATATATATATATATATACCCTGCAGTGAAAAATTATCAATTGTTAAAACTAACCAACTTATAGTTAGCTTTTTGGCGAGATTTCGATTAATACCTCACTTTTAATTAGCTATGACAAAACCAACTTAAAGTGAATTGTAAAGTCGTGCAGGAGTCATGCAGACGCAATCGGGAGTTGGTTTTCTTTACAAGTTTCTATTAAATATCCTCATACAAAAATTACTTTCAATACACTTTTTTTCTGAACTTCGCAGATTCTTTTTCATATTCAGGACAGATAAAAGGAAGATCGAAATTTTATACTATCATTTTGAAGTTATGTCTGACGGTGTTCGAATATGGGGCCACCCAGAGCCGAATATGTAAACAAATATGAAATGTAATAAAATAAGGTAAATAAATAAGTAAATAAAAAAGTAAAAAAACAAAAAAAAAATATTTTGTTTTTCTTATTGATATTTTATGTTCAAAAGTAGTTAGTTACAAGTTTGTTGACATGTAATGCAGAGGTATCCAGGTCTGACTATTTTGCGGCCATCGCCCCACAAAAGTAGTTAGCTTTTTTCGAACAAAATACACAGTTAATAGTTAGCACTAGTGTTCGCGTAAACAGACTAAAGTTAGGTATAAGCTAACGTCACTCCCTGCAGGGTATATACATATGTATGTATGTAGTTAGCTGCTATACATAGTTCGTCGCTCATTACATACATTTTAGTACATATTTAGTACACATTTGTAGGTATACTTGTACGCTCATAAACATTTCGTTTCAATTTCAAATTTAATTTTTATTATTTAAGTGGTTTATGTATAAGTGTTTGCTAGTATGTATGTATGTGTTATAATACAGTTAATATATTAATTTATAGTATTTCAAAAAAAAAAAATTCACTTTCTCTCGGGGGCCTCAAAGTGTGTGTGTGAGAGTTGTTTGCATTGGTTGTGTTGCTCTTGGTGTTGCTAATGGTGGCTGGATGGTTGGCGTTGCTGTTGTTGTTGGCGATGTTGGATTGCTCGCTGCCATTTCGGTGTTGTTATTGTTAGTTTTTTGTGGACGCTTAACCTACATACCTACTTAAAGATTTTTTTAGATTTTTTCATACTCTTGAAATATTTTATGAATTATTTTTTTAATTGTTCATTTATTTTACAAGTGTCTCTCCGCCCACGCATGTGCGTTTCTCTGCTTTGTCTTTGTCTATGTCCTTTATATTTCTCAATTCTTTTTTTACGCATTTGAAGCATTTTGTGCACACCTATACTTACAACTACTTATGTATATAGAAAAAAATGCCAACATCGAAATTCGTTTAATTTTCATAGTTAAAACTTTTTTTGGAGCAACAGTTTGAGAATTTATTTATTTGGATTAATTTTTTGGTTTTTCATAAAAGTGTTTATGTCCAACACGCATACATATGTAGTTTTCATTTGCATATATTTTTATTAAATTTAGTTGCTTGTAAGCATAGTAAATTGAAGTTAAATACTGTTCACATTTGTCTTCGTTATCATACATTTGTATATGTATATAAATACATGCCTGTGTAGATTGTAAATAAATACGTATTTTTGGTTTTTTTGTTTTTGTACTAAAAATACATAGATATAGTATACATAAGTGGGTTAATAAAAAATATTCACTTTAGTTTTCAACAGTTTCTGTAGCACAGGTTTGTGTTTTTTTTTGTATGCATTTAATGGTTCAACAAATTCTTCTAGAGTTCACTAATAAATCCGGCATAAATTCAAAAATTTTTCAAATCAGTAAATCAGGTTTGTATTCTTTAGTTGTTGTGTTGGACTTGCCAACACTTTAGTCATCAGTTTCAGCACGTCGCCTCCTACCTGGACCGCCAGGGAAATTGGCAGCTGCCAGACCCATGCGATGTTTCGCTTCTTGTGTGCCCGAATAGCCACGCGCCAAACCAAAGTCCACAGTGCGTTTAGAGCTGTGTAAACGGGGAAGAAAGAGAAAGAACTAATTTAGTAAAGAAGTTATATCAATTTGGGATATAGTCTCCATAGTGAAATTTTTTCTATTCATCTATAGCACAGCGCAACAAAAACAAAAAAAAAATAAAATAAAATCGAAACACACGAAGTAATCAATATATTCACGAAATTGTGGGCCAAATATAGAAAAACTGTTTTTTTTTTTAGTTTATCTCTCTGACGTTAGGATGTTTTTTTAAAAGGATTCCAAAAATTATTTCAAAAATTCAATGCAATATAGAATAAACATATGGGTACCAAATGGAAGAGAAAACTCAGAATTAAAAAAAAAAAAAAATTAAAACAAATTTGTTTAGTTAGCAAGGACGAATAGGTATTTTAATTAATTATAATTTTTTAAGCTAATACAGTTAGAAGGATGAATTTCGATGCAGTAGTCGAGTGTATATTAGACCTTAACATAAAATTTTTTTCAAAAATAATTAACGCAAAATTTCAAGGATATTGAAGGACTGAAGGCACTTTTTCAGTACCTAATCGTGCTTTTGCACCAAAAAATTTAACCGACTTTGATTCTACAGAATTTTTTCTTTAATTTCATAATCGTATTTTTCAAATTCCAAAGTCCTTAACAAAATCCTGACGTCAGAGAGAAAAACGCAGTTCTTCTACATTTGGCCCATATTTTTACGAATATATTTATTTTTTTTTGTGTGTAAAATTAACTGTCGCACGGTGTTATAAATCGCAAAACATACAGGGTGTTCAATATGTACTGCGAAAAACTTAAGGAGAAGGTAGGGTGGGTGATTACCTCCCACATAAAAAAAAACACACTCACAAAATGGTCACCGTTTTTTAAATATCGATATTATTTCAAAAATTAAAAACCACAAAATAGTCCTAATTTTATAATCGGTTCTTAATATCTTTAAACTGCATTGCATTTGAATATGGTAAAGAAACTACCAGGACATATTTTTAAAGAAAAGAAAGCATCTGAGGTTCGATTTTTTTTTATTAAAAATACATCAAAATTTCAAAAGTGATGACACTTTTCTAGAGGAAATTTTGTTCTTGTCGCGGAGGTCACCCCTCAATCTAAATACTTTTTGCAAAATGCAACAAAAGGAAAATAAGTCATTTTATTTAAATAAGTTGTTTACAGTCTCAAGGTGCCAGCATAAAAAAAAAAAACCATTTACATTTCGCTTCCATCAACGCCGACATTCTTTACCACTTTTACAAAGGAGCCCAAACAACAGTTAGCAATCCTAAAAGACTTGCTTGAGGCAGAGCCCCATCTCTATTGTTAGACTAGACGATTAAGGCAGGACTTAGTAGAGCTGCTACAACTAGAATAATAACAACCAATCAAAAATAATCACTGTGGTGACGGCCAAAAACTGACAGAAGTAAATGACCTTTAGAACGGATATGTCAATTCGCGACGCAAAAACTGTATATTGACAGTTAAAGTTCAGTTAGTGGTGTAAGTGTTCTCATTTTATAGCACACATATTATAATAGGAATATTCGCTTTCCTTCACTTTCACTTCAATTGCGTTCATTCACCTGCTCAAATGAGGAGCTTAGCTTAATGGATTGTAGGCGCATTATTTAAACATTTAATATTCGTAATATTGCGTTTCACCAAATTGACAAACTGCTTTGAATATTTGTGTGTTTACTTAAATAGGATGTGTGTGTGTGTGTGTGTGTGTGTGTGTGCTATTAGATGCTCCACTTGTGGCCAATTTTATTTATGGTCTTTATTTTCACGCCATTGACCATTGACTTATGAAACTCATTTAACACTTTCCTCGGCTTTATTTGCACTTAATCGATTTTAAGTTAAAAGAGTATGTATATAAGTGCATAGACATATAATATGTAAATTTGTAACAGACAATAACAAAGGACATCCTAGTTCATTAAGTGCGCGTCTAGTAGATAAGGTAAGGGAAACTAATTTCACACAGCACCACATAATTTTTAAATGCAAAGCAATAAATACCCATCTGGCTTTGATTTCATAATTAAATTAATAATAATTTTATTCGTTTTATTTTGTTTTTCTCTTGTTTGAAAGTTACTCACTTTTCCAGATCATTGCGTGCTCTCATAATCGTTTGGCCGAAACGGGCCATCAACTCCATTAAAATGTCATCGGGCACCTCCTCCAGCTCATTGTAGTAGCCATTGTTTTGACTGTACATGTATATGTATATGTATGTGCGTATGCGTGTTAATATGCGAGTTGTGTGCGTAGTTTGTATGGGCGCAAGGCGCATTCGACGTATTTCGTTGTTAAGTGTATTGGAAAATAAGAAAAGGCTCATATTAGTATCTTAAGTGCATATTTATTTATGGCTTATGAATTTCTCTGGTTTATAACATTAAAAATATAGTGGCGGACGTAATGATAAGGTCACCTTCAATTGATAACTATTTTATTTATCAAATTAAATACGCGTTTGTGAGCGGAGCGAAGTGGCTCTAATTTTAAATCACACTGTACCGATAAGAAAGTCCCAACTTCAAAAAATAAAATGTTATTTCACATCTACAGGCCAAATTCTGTAATTTGGCATCCCATTTTGGATGGTGAGTATTTGATGATATTCACAAAAAATGTCTTCGCGTATTATACGCACATAGTTAGAGATAGATATGATTTTTTGAATAGGTGGTAACTCTAATAAAAAATATTTTCAAACTAAAGCCTTTCATAAAAGTATTTGAAAGTATTTTCAAACTAAAATCGTTTTAGATCTCTCTTTCGTCTGGCATTGGGATACAAATTTCCATTAACTGATGAATTTAATTTTACAAATACGTGGCAACACTCTAGAATATAGTTTTGAAATAAAGCCATTTTAAACTGATTTCGTTTGAAATACATCTTTTAATAAATCATTTAACATTTAAGGAAAGTTTAACTAATATTTTAAACCGGTGGCAACCCCATTCAAATACCTGGAGTATATTTTAAATGTTAAAATTAAAGATTTCTTATCACCCTTTCGTTTGAAATCCATATATTAATATTTCATATAACTTATGCACAGCTAGATTGAATTCGGTTTTTGAAACAGGTGGCAGCCCTCTTCAAAATGATGTGGCAACCTCCTAAATATACATAGTTCGGAAATAAAGCCTTTCAAACTCATTTCTATTAATACCACTGCAAACCCAAACATTTTCCAAACAAATTTGAAGAAAAATTGTGAAATTTTGATGATTTTTTTAATTTTTTTATAAAATTAGTAACTTGGTACGGTTTTTGTTATAGAATCAACAATATTTTTATAAAAAAAAATTTTTATTAAATAATGAAAAAAATACTCAAAACTTATCAAAATATGGTGACTTTTTAATTATGTCGGCCACTGTATGCCTGTAAAATGCGTTTTTAAATGAAATAAGAAGTATTAAGTTTGAATAGTTTTGAGCACCTTTTTCTTTTGAATTTTTATTGGCACTAACATCTTTGCTCAAACTTTAAGTGAAATTTAATTCTTTTATTTTCTTGCTATATCAATAATGGCTCTCTTAATCAACCTTTGAAATTGTAAGAAGTGAGCCATTGCCCTCATAGATGAAAGAACCTAAACTAATGGCGTTTTCTTTTCTACAAACATTGTTTGCCTCTCATTGGCCTCTTCTTCTTCGGCCATAACTTAAATGCCTTACTGAAGTAAGAAAATGCATTATGTATACACATAAAAGTGTATAAACAAATTTATAAATTTTGCATAGTTCATCAAAAAATAATTCGTGTCTAGCTACAACTACCTGGGAAATGGCGCGGCCTCCGACGTCGACAGACACAGCGCCCAGCAAACTGCGATGAAAGCCAAATAGGAGCAGAATAGCTTATTTGACATCATTGTGGTTGTTTTTGTGGTTTCTTTTGCTTTGCAAGAGATTGGAGCTGCAAAGGAAAGAGAAATAAGAAATTATGTAAATTTTGGTTATTAGATATCATTTACGGTTAATGAGTAAGCTAAAAATTGCTAGCTAAGCAGATACTATTTTTTGGCAACCTTTTTGGAGTTTGCCATAACGAAAAACTGATATATCGTGTGCATACTTACGTATGTACGGGTGTGCAAGAAACATCCACATCCAATACTAAAAAATGTATACTCCTTATTTACCCCCCCTCCACCCTTTCTGATTTCTAAGCTACCAGGTAACGTTTTCAGTTGCTTTTGCACATTATAATTCAATAACGATAAAGCAATCAAAATGAATTAACTTAGCCAGACACCTATTAATTTGAAGGGTGGAAAAAATTGTTGTGTATGCAAGGGAACTTGCGACCAATCAAGGTGTACAGCTTATAACTTGAAGCAATCAATAAAAAAATGTAGGTATCTACATATGTATTTATGCACCTACATATGTACGGATGCTATGTGAGTTTTAAAGATGTTACTTATGAGATGTGTTCAGCACAAATAAACTAAGTATTGTGTGTGTGTGTGTGTGTGTGAAATCAACGGTAGAATGGATATTGTACACATTTCCTTGGATAGAGTAGAATGACGACAATTTGACGCAAACATATCCATATGCATACATACAAGCTTAACAGAAATACAAATTTATGCACATAAGTACTCAACGGAAACTTGCGTTACTCATATTTTGCACGATCTTAATAAATATGATACAATTTTGGCATACATAGGTAGAGAGGAGATTTTCTAGAGCTTTTTGAACTTGGAAGATTAAATTAAACAAGTAAGGGTGCGTTCACACAGAAAGCCGAGCGGTGCCAAGCGAAACAAGGCGGAACAAAGCGAAGCTGCTGTCGTTCACACTGAACGAAGCGAAGCGGAGCTTTTCTTACGGACTCGGCTGCAAAGATACCACAAAATTTCCCGTCAATGAAAAGCGGCAAAATATTTGCTCAATTTTATTCAAAATATTAGTTCTAAGATTCGTTCTTATTTGGATATTTCGATTTCTTGTGTGTATGAAAATCATGAGGCTGAAAAATTTAATAGAAAATACAAATCACAAAACTGCTTTGCCTTCAGGTACAAAAGGCTTCTGAAGAAGCTTGCTGTATGAACACTTTCATATAGCTCAGCAACTTGAAAACTTCACTCAGCTCGAACGGCCTCGCTCGGCTCGGCTCCGCTTTCTGTGTGAACGTACCCTAATTTTTAAGCAAAAAACAAAACCGGCTTCAATTCTCATATAAAAGTTTAAAACCAAATTAGTATGGGACCACCTGTGAGGTAACACTTTTCCTTTAAAGAAATCGGTTAACGTTGTCCAAAGTTATGCGGTAACATAGATAAAAGAAAATATATATATATATGTCTCGTCGAATTGATTGATTTTTGTGGAGTCGGTTAAAACACAATTTTTTTCATGATTCTTAGCGAAATTATGTGATACTACCATAAACTTAATTAGCCTACCGTAGCATAACATACTAGGGGTATTCTCGAGGTCTTGCAAAGCCCTTGTACGGTGCATGGATTGCACGGTTTGCAAAGCTGTCCCATTGGAAAATCGAGTTTTACCATTAGAAAGGAAAGGAGGGACCATAGGAAAAGTCGTAGCTGCTTCTTCGTCAAGCGTCCTGCCCAGCCACTAAAGTTCTAATTATGGCATACTGCAACAACCATCATTTGAATTAGGTTGTCTACACTTAGACCTAAATACAAGGTGAAGCAAAATCTTTCACTCGATGGTCTATGGCTGTATTTTTGTTCTGCTCTTGGATCGTGTTTATTTGATGTCTTAATTATTTTCCATTAAGTCTAGTAAGTTATATTGGTCAAGTGATCGCAGCCAAAATTGCTGACCAATCGGGGTCATCTTGGCATTTAGTTAGTCCATTCTTGCCAGAACGGCTCGCCGTCCACAGTAGCCGTTTGGCCCGCGGCGCACAGTGGTTTAGCCCCATACAATGTTTGGAGAAAATTAGAAGGAGTAGGCGTAGGGCTTTAATTTTGTAGTGTGTGTAGCCTCTAAGGACATAAATCAAGAAAAAGACGAAAAATTGGTGTGATCGGTTTATTTTAAAGCATACCTCCCATACAAACCTAACCTCGAAAACGCCTTAAAAATGGCATTCAAAAAGCACCGATGAATGAAGGACTTCCAAATTTCGTCCGAATATTCACAATAATGGAGTAAATAAACATACAAAAAATTAGCAAAATCGATTTACTTTAACGCATACCTCCCATACAAACCTAACCTCAAAAAAGCTTAAAGATGTCATTAAAAGCGTATCGATGAATGCACGACTCCGAAATTTTGGTCATATATTGTAAATAATAATATAAGCAAACACCCTTAAAATGGCTGCAATCGGTTTATTTTTACGCACACCTCCCATACAAGTATAACCTCAAAAAACTTAAAAAAGTTATTAAGAGGTAAAAAAAAAGTTCTCGTACTATACAAACTGCATATTTGTGCATGTATATATATAAATATGGTGACTCAGGGTGGGTAAAACTGTTTAGACTTCAAGGTTAAAAAACANCGAATGCACGACTCCGAAATTTTGGTCATATATTGTTAATGATAATATAAGCAAACACCCTTAAAATGGCTGTAATCGGTTTATTTTAACGCACACCTCCCATACAAGTATAACCTCAAAAAACTTAAAAAAGTTATTAAGAGGTAAAAAAAAGTTCTCGTACTATACAAACTGCATATTTGTTCATGTATGTATATAAAAATGGTGACTCAGGGTGGGTAAAACTGTTTAGACTTCAAGGTTAAAAAACAGAAATTTATTTTTTTACTCTCATACATAGTATAGAACGACCAAGATCTGAGCCAAAAATTCACAGCTTTTTTCTGCATTCTATTTTATACAAACGTACATAGGCTGTAGGTTTGTCCTTGGCCGTCGTTGTTCTGTGGTAGCCACTGTTTTTTCGGCGCTAGCCTTGTAAATGGCGAAAGCAGTGACCCAAAAGCTTTCAACTCTAAACCGCCCACAATTACACTGAAGCGCAATACTCAACACTGAAACACTACATGGAACAACCAAAATCGAACAACTTTGTAGCACAAAATTANTTCGGCGCTAGCCTTGTAAATGGCGAAAGCAGTGACCCAAAAGCTTTCAACTCTAAACCGCCCACAATTACACTGAAGCGCCTCACTCAACACCTGAAAGTAAAACACTACATGGAACAACCAAAATCGAACAACTTTGTAGCACAAAATTATTTTTACACAGAATTACTGCTTCACTAGTTTCATTTCAAATATTTTCGCACACAAAAATGCACATCAAATGAATGTGCAAATTTTGATAAATAATCGAGCATATATGCATAAAATCGTATGACTGCTACCATTGCTGCTGCAGCTGCTGTTGCTATTATTGAATATATCTCACTTCGCACTGCAATGCAAAATGCTAGCCAGAGAAATTGTTTGCACATTTTGTTATCCCAGCCCAGGCTATGTACGTTAAATTTATCTATATGTAGGTACATATGTATGTATGTATGTATGTAGCTACATATGTATGTATTTATGTGTTAAACTATTTATCCGTTCGAACATTAAATGATGTAGCAAAATGTTGCAAACGTTTATGTGCCATATTACTGGCGCGTGTAAACATGTAACTCTTTAGCTACATATAGAATTTACATACATATATAACGTTGTGCACTACACCGACACGACTGACACATCGTTGGCACTATCAAAACGTTGTTGATTACCTGCTGAGTGAGTTGTGTGCTTGCACAAAAGCTTTCACCATATCATCTACATACCTAGTAAGCACATGAATGACAAGCTAATGGACGTTGCAAACAAGATGGGTGTAGAACTAGGAGCAGCTGCTACTTGCTAGCAATGATTTCTCTTGCCATTTTTCACTTCCAAATGCCACTCCAAGTTAGGGATAAGCAAGCGACAGGATAGCACTAGGTATACCATTTTCACTAGGATTATACCAGCTCATACATAAGTACCCACATAGCTCGATAGCTATGCATACATGTATGTGATCGAATGCCGTCGCCTGCGTAAAATTGTTTTTTTTTTGCCCATCAGCAATATCACCAACAGCAGCAGCATCATTGACTTCAGTGTCGCAAGTGTTGTGTTGGAAGGAAAAAAAGTGCCAGTAGCAAGTCAAGTGGTTGTTGAGAGCAGCAGACGCATTTGCACTGCATTTAAGCGAATAAATGCAGCAAGCACGTGCCAACATTGCTTTTGGTAGTAAAATCTCATCTCTTGCTTGGCACTTGCCGCCGAGGTCATTTCCGACTTGTAAAATTAATCGTCTGTATATTAAAATTTTAATGTTCAAATATTATTAAAATGTAGTAAACAGTTACGTCAGGCAGTTAGTTGATAACAATTTGCAACAGTGTTGATACAAATTATAGCCGTTGACCTCAATTTTTTCGCTCACACACCCAATAATAAATGTGGCTGTGCCTTGGAGACTCTGATAACTAACAGCGTACATACTTGAAATGCAGAAAATGTTACAATTAAAATATAATGTTTGCTTTATGAAATGTTGATTTTAATTTTTACTCGATTTACTAAGCAATTACAAGGTACCGAGAACTTTTGCTCCTAATACAAGTTGAAAATAATTTAATAGTAAGAAAAAATTCTCAACTTTCCGAAATTTCCCCTATATTAGAGAGAAAAATTTCATATCAAAACTGCGTGCATGTAGTCTCTATTCGCGGAGGAAGTGAAACTTCGTAGGAAAAAGAAGATTGCAATATATGTACATCATCCTCATCTTAGTCTTCACCTTCAATTTTCATCGTCGTCTTCAATCTTCAAGTTTATCTGTGTCTTGATCTTCATTTACACCTTCTTTCTCCTCTTCCTCTTCATTCTTCACCTTAATCTTCGTAGTCATCTTCTT